CCTTCCCCCTCCCCCCCATTTCTTTGCTTCCAGGTTTGAGGCACTCAAGCGCATGCCGGCCAGTCTGTCCCCACTTGTCCTGCCCCTCCTGTTGGTTCGTTGCGCCTGGAATCTTAACACCTTTTCACAGGGGTGTCCGCCAGGTGTGGTCGAAAAAGTCAAGGTGGCGGCCGCAACGGTGCCGTCGAAGCTCTGCCTGGTTTCCGTGTGTGCCACGTGTGCTTCAGTTGCACCAGGGTGGCTGTCCTATTGACCTCTTTGACCGCGCCTTGCGGACGCTGCTGCATTTCCAGCTGAGACATGGAGTTTCTTTGGCTCCTGGCTTGAAAGGGCTGCCAAGGCGGGCCTGCGCATTTCCCTTATTTCTGAGTGATGATGGGCAAAATGAGGGGTGGGGGGTGGGGGAAATGGTATGTAGGAATAGACTCAGACTGCAGCCCCCTTCCCCCTCTGGCTTCTTCTTCCCGTCCTGACCGAGCGCTGCCATCTCCACATAGGCACCCACTCCTGTGCAGCTTCTCACTCTTTTGGTCCTTCATGACTGTTTTTGGGAAGGCGAGAGGACAGACGGAACAAGGGGAGACACAGGACGGTGGCAAGGGGAGGTGTCCTCACCTGGGTGCCCCATAAATCCCGTGTGGGAGGGAGGGAGACGGGTAATGGAAGCCCCCTGAGGAATTACCATGGCATTTCCCAGCCCTCCTGGGCAAGCTTGGGGGCTCAGCGGCTGCTCTCTAGCATCCTGGGCAGACTTCCAGCCCGAGCACGCTGTAGGCTGGGAGCCTGCTGTATTCTAGAAGCGATGGAGAGAAGGTGTCATCCGCCCAGAAGGAGGCTGGGAGCTTTTTTCAGCTTGAATTTTTGTAGCCAGAGCTACAGCATCCTCTCTTGAATTCTGGGAGTTGAAATCCACCCATGCTAAAGTTGCCGAGGTTGAGAAACACTGCCTTAGGGGTCGTGGACTTCTCTGGGTGGCCCTCGGACTTGGAGCCTTCAGTGGTCCTAGGAGCTCTTCTCTGGCTCCTCGTGGTCTCTCCCGCTGGAAGTGGGCTCCTGACATCCCGTGTTTCCACGTTGGGACGCTCTGTCCTCCATGACGCTCTGGCTGGAAATTTGTTTATTTTTGTTTATTATGGAATTTATATGCCACCCATCTCCCCCAGTAAGGGACATAAAGATCCCTTCCCTGATGGCCTCCCTCTCTTTGGTATCTAAGCAGGGATAGTTGACTCTTGGAAGCCTGGGTCTCCTACCTCCCGAAGGCCCACTCCAGGACCAGCTGCCGCTGCCGCCAGGGCCTGGAGGTCACAGGATGGGGAAGGTGCCGGGGGAGGATGTTTCGGTGGGGTGGGTAAATCTGGGGGATGGACACCAAAGCAGCGAGAAGGAGGGTCCCACTCGTTGCCCTTCCAGCCTTGCGGATGGGCTCCCCTGTTGCCCCACCACCAAGCATTCAAGGGGAGATGGGTTGCTCCTGCCTGCTCCCGCCTGCTTTATTCCACGGCGACCTCACAGGCTGCTTCCTGTCTGCCCCACCCATCTCTGGCAAGGCACAGGGAAGGTTTCTCTCCCCTGCCACCCGCAACCCCCCCCCCGCTTCCAGCACGCACGCACGCGCGCACACACACAGAATGGCTTCCTGCCATGATTAGCCTGGCAGAGACGTTAAGCTGTTGACCTCCAATCTTCTCTCATCAAATTCCTAAATACATTTTCATTACGACTCCTTGCTTTCTCCCATCCTTTTTTCCCCGTCTTGCTCTTTGATTTCATACACAATGAATAATGACAGGGCCAGGCAGCGGGTCCTGCCACGCTGGGCCCTGATAAAGCACAGTCCTCCTCCTAATGAAATTTTCCTTTCCTCCTCTGCTCGCCTGCCAAGAAAGAAATGTGCGGTCCCTTCCTGGGAGGCCCCCTCCACCTCACCTCACCTCACCTCACCGGGGGCCGTGGGAGGGATGAGTGGCCTCGCCTTTGGGGCTGGGCATGGCCTCGCCCCCTCCAGGCGGCTCTCCTTGCCCTGGGCTGGCATGGGGGCACCTGTTCTGCCGGGGCTCAGCCCTCAGCCCCCCTCTCTTCTCCTTTCAGCCGGGAGGAAACAGTTTGCCCGTCACGAGTGGGCCCAGAAGGCCGCCTACCTGCTGGGCTGCACCCTGGAAGAGCTGTCCTCGGCCATCTTCAGGCAGCAACCCAAAGGCACCCTGCAGAGATCCACCTCCTTCCGCCAGGGGCCCGAGGAAGCAGCGCTGGCGGACGGCTCAGGTGGGGAAGGGCTAGGCAGAGCCGGCCCTGGGCTGCAGGCCCTTTCGGAATGGCTTCTCCAGCTTTCTGTTCTGAAGCGCTCCATGTTCGGAAGTGTTCATTATGCAGTCACTGTGCAGGAGATACGGTGTCCCACCGTGTATTGCTTTGGAGGGTCCCAGCACTGCGACATTTGAGTCTCTCTCTCTCTCACATACACACACATGCACGCACTGGCTAAGCAGCTGTTTGGACTGTGCTTGCTAGGAAAGAGTAACCAACTCCAGATGAATCATAGCAGGAGGAAATCTACTGGGGTTTATGCAGAATGGACTCTGCAGAAGGGAAGGGAAATGATTTTCCCCAAACCACTGCCATATTTAGTGTTGGGGGGGGGTATCACTTTTAGCTGGATAAGTGGATCCTCACCTCTCCACTTCATGAAATTTGGATTTTGGCTGCTTACGGAACAGCGAGCAAGAGAGAGAGAGATGGATGTTCGCCCACCCCTCCAAAGTATCCTGGGCTCAACTGAGGCCCACGACTCATTTCTGGCACTGTGTTGGGGCTGGTGGTGGCTCCTCCAGGCGAGGCCCGCCTCACCCTGGCCCTCTCTGTTTGGTTCTGCAGGTCCAAAGACCTCTGCTCTGGAGTGTTTAGAAGCCCTGGTCTCCAGCCTGTACTCAGAAGTGTTCACACTGCTCATCTCCCTCCTCAACAGGTATGGAAGAATCGATGCAGGCTCCGAGCTCCTCCTCTTCCTTCTTTCTCCCCCTCGTCCCTTCCAGCCTCCTAACATTAACAAGCTCTGTCAGTGCCAGAGACCTTTCCAGACCCCAAATGCATTAGCTGAGCTAATGAGGACAAAAGCTTTTTACACCGAGGAAAGCCTTCCGATTTCTGCCCTGCCATCTTCCTTCTGCAGAAATGAGGGCAGGAGGGCCCTTGACCCCACGGGCCTCCCAGCTAGCTCTGCACACTCCCAAAGTGGGTGCTTTTTCCTTTCTCCAAGGGACAGGAGCACCTGCTCATAAAACAGCTGCAGGGGAAGGAGCCAGGACAGGCAGCTTCTCAACAGCTGGATTGTAATAGGACTACTCGCACTTGCCCTTTGGCAGCATGGCTCCTTGTCTTGGGATCCTTTCTCTGTCCATACAGGTGTTTGTGGCATGGAGCTTTCTGAAGGCCAGGACAGTCTAACCGTGTCCTCCACTTGGGGTGGTCTTGTATGACTTGATTTCTTAGACCAGTGTTTCTCAACCTTGGCCACTTGAAGATGGGTGGACTTCAGCTCCCAGAATTCCCCACCCAGCCATGCTGAGTTGAAGTCCACTCATCTTCAAGTAGCCAAGGTTGAGAAACACTGTCTTAGACAATAGGTTAATTAGCTCCAAAAGGCTCTTCAGAGTATATGATACTACAGGTAGTCTTTGTTTAGTGACTGCCTCGTTTAGTGACCATTTACAATTACAATGGTGATGAAAAACTTTGCGACCAGTCCTCGCAATTATGACCCTCACAGGCCTGTAAAGCAAAGAAAAGCTGAAGGAAGATTGTAAGCATGGTCACGATTTCACTTAGCAATCGCTTTGCATAACAACCAAGTTCCCATCCCAATTGTGGTCACTAAATGAGGACTAGCTGTATATTGCTATAATACTGTAATGCATAAATGCTTAATTTAAGGAAGATTTTAAAAAGCCATTTCATTCTACATATTTAGCAGCAAGACTGGAATGGGATTATTCCTCTATTAGCATTATGGCAATGTAATGCCATTACGACGCTAGGATATTACAGCAATCTATCTCTTTTTCATTAAAAAGGCACCTAAAATTACACTTGGAAAAGCACCCAATGAAAGAAAGGTGACTGATGAGCGATGGACGGGTGGGTGGGGTCATCAAAAGGCATCCGCCTGCGTGGGTGGTAATTATGGTACACGGAGCTAAGCTGTACCAACTTCACTTTTCCAAGGCGCTATTGCCCACATCAACCCCACCTTCAAAAAGAGAGAAAGGCTGCATCAGGAATGTCTGCAGGGTATGGATTAAAAAAAAAGTCAAGGTGGTGGGCACGATGGTGCAATCGCAGCTCTGCCCAGGAGGAGTTTGGATTGCATCATCATGCCGCCATCTTGACTTTTTTGCCCATACTTTGCGGACCCCCCTGGGTTGCATTAAAGGCAAAGCTGCAGCTGTGGAGATTTTGCCCCACTTCTCTTCTTCGACAGAGGTTCTCCTTTCTACAGCCTGCCATGCGGAAGCCTCCCCCTCCTGGGGACAGTCAGGTCCCTTTGTCCAGCTAGCCATGCGGAGCCGCGACCGGGGGGGGGGGCAACCCAGGGCAGAGGACCCTCTCCCAGAGCGATCTGCTGCCCGCACCCCCAGCCCCCCTCTCTTTCCCCGCAGGGCTCTTAAGTCCAGCCAGCGGTCCTTGTGTTCCATGATGATTGTGGATACGCCCGGCCTCCAGAACCCGGAGATGGCCGGCCAGAGCCGCGGGGCCACCTTTGAGGAGCTGTGCCACAACTACGCCCAGGAGCGGCTGCAGGCGCTCTTTCACGAGCGGACCTTTCTGCAGGAGCTGGAGCGATACAAGGAGGTACTCCCTGGATTTGGGGCAAGAGCAAAAGGTACTTCTAGCACCGGCGGAAGCCGCCACCCCAGAGGAGGCTGCAGCAGTGGGGCCTGCCGGGGTGTTGGAAGAGAGCCGCTAGGTAGCGCAGGGCCTCATCCTGTCCTTTCCCTTGCATTGCCTGCTAACTGTAGAACTCGACCGATTAAAACCAGAGGCAGGAGCCTCCCTTCAGAGGCCTTTGTTAACCTAATCAGTAGCTTCTGATCTGCCCCCTTCCAAAAGCAGGGGTTTTCCTGGGGAACTCCTTCTCCTCTTTTGGCCACCCCAAATTGGGCTTGGGGACTACCACTGGTCTCCCTGCTCGGATCTCCAGGGGCTGTTTTCTGAGTCTGTCTTTGGTGAGGTCAGCATGGCACCATTGGGAAATCATCATCATCATCATCATCGGATTAAAATGCCAAATCCAGTCTAAACATCTGGCTCGCTATGTGACCAACAATAATAATAGTAATAATAATAATAAAAAGAAAGCAAAGATAGTACCAGTAGTTATAGGCGCCTTGGGTGCGATCCCCAAACATCTGGAGCACCCCTGGAAGACCATCGGCACTGACCAAATCACCACCTGTCCATTGCAAAAGGCGGCTTTACCTGGAACAGCTTATAGCCTACGTCGATACCTTTAACTCCACCAAACAACAACACCTGCCTATCCCAGGTCCTTGGGAAGGACTTGATGGGTGGATAAAAATGCCAAATGCGGTCTGGTTGATTGTGCGAACATCTGGCTGACTGCGCAACCAACAATAATAACAACTGTGCCAGCAACTCCCACCCGATTCTGGGGGCTTCGCAACAGGATCATTCCCCAGTTCACTTGCTGGGAGGGCCCAGTGGGCCCAACTAAAATCTGGATCCAGAAATATGTGCCCCCGCCCCCGGAAGGTTCTTCCAGGGTCTGTCTGCCCAAATGGCTTCTTTCAGGCCTGTCTCCTTCCAGCCCTCCTTCACCAAGGGGGCCACGATTCTAGCATTACCAGCCTTGAAGGGAGGCTGCGACAGGGCCCCTTCCTCCCCCCCAGGAGCTACGCCCAGATCAGGTGGCGCTGACGTCCTTTGCCAAGAAGCAGCGCAGACTCCTGCGAGGCTCCTCAACGGGCAGAAACGCCAGCCTTGCCCTAACAAGGCTGGTCCCACCGCAGAGTTTGTTACTGGGCTGCGGTGGGGGGAGAAGCCAGCGGCTGGACGGCCCCTCCAGGATGCCGTGAAGCAGTAAGAAGCTGTAACCTGACCCTTAGCAGACCTCTTACTGGAATTTAAAATCAGCCAGAGGTGCGATAAGTCATATCGCAGGGCCTCACGGGGGTCACGCAGATGCTCCTGAGCCCTTCTTAGCACAGGCGCAGGAAAGTCTTTGGCCCTGACTGGCAGACCGGTTTGAGCCAAGTCAAAACTATTATTAATATCCTGTTCCTGTTCCTTCATTTCCTCCGGGGAGCTAAAGGTGCCAGAGATGCGCGTCCAAGCATCCTCACCTCTGTCTTGCTGCCTTAAAGGTAGAGTGCTCCTGGATGGAGAGGTTTTGGCTAAGAATTCGCACAACACGACTGAACCACAAACTGGCACATCACGTTGTGGCCTAGAGTGAGGCTAGGTTAGGGTTCGTGGTGACAGATGAATCCAGGAAATTGGATAAGTGAATATGCTGGTTGTGCCTCCCCAGCCCCTGCTGCCTCCCCGGCCTCCCCAGTGCTCAGATGTGGGAGGTGGTGCCAGTGGGGGGTCCTACTCTCATCCTGGCCCTCTCCAGTATGGTGCCCCCAGTGGCCCCAGCATGCAGAGCCCAGGCTGGTTGTGGATGATGAAAGATGTAATCCAAATTGCCCGCAGGAGGCCGGGCTGGGGGAGGCTCAGAGACCCGTCTGTTTGGCCCGTCCTTCCCCCGGATCCCGGAACGTTCCGAGTTTACAGAAGCCGTGCCAAGTCGTTAATCCACTCCTGTGATCTGCTTTTTCTGGTCACTCTGGATTTCTTCATTTCGTTTTTTAAATGCTTTTCAGGGAGGCCTTTAGAAGAGTGGGAGGGAAGGGAGGGCGGAAGGGAGGGAGCGGAACATTGGCGCAAGCATTTTGTCCACCGGCGCATGGCGCACGGGGCGCCAGTCAGCGGTAGATCCGTTCTCCTGCTCCCCAGCTCTTCTCACAGCAGGACATTGTCTTCCGCCAGATTTTTTCCCCCCGGGTGGGGGCTGTCCAAGGAAACCCCTGCTGTGTGTTGATTGTAGATTCTCTTCTGACTAATGCACTGACCATGGTCTCTCTGCCCACCCTTTCTCTGGGTGCCTTTAACTGTAACCTGTAGCCACATGGCCACTAATCACGCCTCCTCTGTCCATCCTCTCTAGGAAAACATAGACCTTTCCTTAGATGCCTTAGAGCCCAGTACCTCAGGCTGTGTAGCCACAGTAGACCAAGCGTCCCAGCAGGCTCTGGTAAGCGGCATGCAAGGGCTTTTCGAGGCCATCAGTCCCCCGTCTCTGTCCTCTTCCACCCCTTTGCTCCCTTTCCTGCCCTGCCAATGCGCGGCTGCTTGGCTGGGAGGGGGCGGGTTGTGAGACCGAGGCTGGGGGGGTCGGGGTATACCGTGGTGGAGGTGGGAGATCAAGAGGCTGGCTTTAAGCCTCTCTCTGTCTCGAAGCAGAGCCAAAAGGCTCTTGAACTGAAGCGAGAAGCCATTTTTACTCCTGTCTCTGGAGAACAAAGGGGTTTGGAGCCATTTTTTGCAGGTGTGACTCCTAGCTCAAAGACCTGGAGCAAAAGAAATGGGGAGCTTTGTAAGGCTGCTGGGAAGTTTTATCTCAAGGCCAGCCCCTCTTGATTTATTTGTGGGTTGGTGGTTGGTTGCTTGTTTCTACACGATCCCTTGCTGCCTGTGGCGAAAAAACACAAGCATGGCTTGCAAGGTCACTGTGGCATTGGATCCAGTCTTGAGTTCGGGTGACCAAAGCAACTAGCCAGATGTCGCTGCGAAATCTGGAGCAGGATTGGAGCAAGAGCGTTCCCCCCTGCTTGCCTCCCGCCTCTGGGGTTCCGACGTGCCCTGCCTCTTTGATCCTTGCATCTTGCGCCATGCATCACGATCTGGGTTTATTGGGGTGTCTGAGTGAGAGACGGCAAGCCTGCTGCTGTTGTGAAGGGGGCCTCATGGACTTTGGTTGCTTTTGGTTTGGAACTCAGGCATGTACCTGGTGGCTGAGTTGCCCGCTTGCTGAGTGGATTTCCCAGGAACCTCCTGGTGCCCTTCTCAGCAGGCATCTAACGCTAATTTCCTCTATTCCGGTCCCACCGCTGTGCGTAAGGAGGCAGAGGGAGAGGCGGCCGCCAAAGTACGTGGCGAGAGGGAAGGTGGCAGGAAGGGAGAAAGGGTGGGGTGGATTTGCAGATGCCCGCGCTGGAGCTGGAGGAGTGACTTCTTTGCTGGGAGGGCCATCTGGGCAGAACATTCACTGTGGAGTCCCTGGAGTTCTCTGTGCTTGGCTGTTTTCTTGCAAACGTTTCGTTCCCCGGCTAGGTAACATCTTCCGTGCACTGAAGATGTTACCTG